GAGAGAGAGAGAGCACAAGCAGGGGGAACTGCAGGCAGAGGGAGAGGCAGGCTCCCTGCAGAGCAAGGAGCCCAATATGGGGGACCCTGGGATCATGATCTGAGCTGAAGGCAGATGCTTAACCGACTGAGCCACCGAGGCATCCCTACAACTCTCTTTGGTATGTGTTTTAATTCTTAGTATTTACTGGAATTTGTAAACTATTAATGCAATCTGTGGCAAGCTGTTTGTTACTGTTTTTGTAGCTTAACATGAAACATAAGGATTAAAACATTTTTAAAGCAACACATGATAGAGATTGAATTTGTTGAAAGCAGATACAGTTTTCTGGGGAAAGAAAATTCATATTAAAAAAGATGCATATGGAATATATGAATTAGCAAAGTATGTCTTATAGCAATACCTTAAAAACTAGAATATTAAAAACTGCTTGGCAAAGGACTAATTTTTTACACAAATATGTAAATTAAAGTCAGACTTGTTTTTGTCTAAGTTAGGTCATGCCTAAGTCCTGAGAGCTGAATTCACTCCTTGAGAACTAAGTACATGGCTTTATACTTGTGTGGCCTCAGGCCCTGCAGGGCTTTACACATCGCTGGAGCCCTATAGGTGAATTAGATGTGGCCTTTGTCCAAAGTCCAAGTCTACATTCCAAAGTGTCTTCACTTCAGACACAAAAGAACTTTGAGATGATACAAATCCTATCTATCTGTCTACAAGATCCGAGAGAGTAGGATAGAGGAATGTGCCTTTATATAATATTTCTGTATTTCTCAACCTTTCCTTTTTCCTCCCTTTTTTTAGAGGGGAAAAAACATGCTGAGGCAACAGACACATAACCCAGTCCCTTGTCTTCCTGCTGTATAGGCATACATACCTCTTTCTCATTAACTATCTCCCTTCTCTAACACCGGTGGATGCCCCCCGTCCCCCCCCCCCACCCCCCCCTGGGAGGTGGCAGGATACTTTTGAGATATTTTAGCTCTTAGGAGAACAGCTTCTTTCTGAGATCTTGTCAGAAATAATCTCCAGGGAAGCATGCAGTTAAATGTACATCACTATTATTATTTCTCTCCTCCCAGGGTTTGTGTTTACAAAGGAATTTTGTGTAATTATGGATTCCCGTAGGCTTTTCTGATAGCTTATGGTCGCTGACAGTGTACCATGGCTAAAAAAGAAATGAACTCTCAAGAAATCCTGAGGCTGTTATGTTGTTTTTCTAACAGATACTGGATTAAGGTGAAGGATTAATGGTTTTGATGCTGCTTCTTTTGTCTTTGAAACTCAGTGGATCCAAACCCTTGTGCTAGGTGTCTCGTAGGAGTCAACATAATTTTTAGACTGCCTTCATCATTTTAAATTGAAGTTTTCTTTCCCTACCACTAGATAATTTATGTTTCCCTATGTCTTGGGTCATTTTATGTTGTCCACACATATGAGCTCAAACCTGCTGCTTTCTCTCCCTAAGTTCCCTTCTCTTTTCTGCTTTCCTGTTTCTTTCCACAAGAGAGGACCTTATTTATGATCCTTGAATGCTTCACTAGTTCAGTGAGTAAAGGAGAGAGGTCTTATAGCACTTTTTAGCAGGCAGTGAGATAGAAGAATATCTGGCTTTAGTAAGAAAGGCTGGTATGGAAGTGACTTAGGTTTATGGATGAAGTTACCACAGATGACAAAGAGGAGTAGAACTTGGACTAGAAGATCTCTGTAACAAACCCATGTCATTGACTAGCCCTTTTGTGATCTTTCTTTTGTCTTGCATTCCCTCAGCAGCTTCTGTAGTTTGTGTCCTAATTGTTTCCTGCATGAGGGTCGTGCTGTCCCCGAGAACAAAGCCTCTGTGTCCGGTGCAGGCCACTCATGCCCATGGCAGCCACTGCCGTGCTTATTGAATGAATGCTGCTAACCAAGCGGGTCCTTTTTAGCAAGTGCTCATTGCTATTAGTCAAAAGGGGTAACATTGTGACTCTTCTAGTCATGAGTAGAAGTCCAAAAAGAAAACAAGCTGCCCACAAGCATGGACCAAAAAAAGCATGGACAGCATCAGATACTGAACCTAATAATGCCACGGGTATTACAGCTGGGCACGTGGCATGTTCACTGTTTTGATGTGGTAACGGAAGTACGTTTTATGATTTGCTTAGGTAAGCTGCTAGGGGAGGTAATGGAATGTTTTAGGCCTGCAAAAAGTGGCTGGTTGTGTTGCCTACAAAATATAGTCAATGGCAAGAAAATGGTATTGGTATTTTCACAGCAGTGGCTTGCAGTAGCGTCACTTTTCCTCCTTTGTGTTTTAGGTGAGATGAGTGAGAGCCGAGCAAAGAGAGTTCGAATAAAAGAGGTAGACGGCTGGACTCTGAGGATGCTGATCGATTATGTTTACACTGCAGAAATTCAGGTTACGGAAGAAAATGTACAGGTGAGAGTAAACCCCTCATACCGTGTGGCTCTTCGTACATGCCAGTTTTTTAAATCAAAATAGCATACCCACACCACAGGATACTTTTTGTACCAAAGTAATGGAATTCATTGTTAAAACTGAATTTCTAAGGGACATTTGGAATGATTACATCTTTCTAATGATGTTTCTGATTTCAGTATCTTTTATAGTCTTGAAGTTCCAATCTTTCAGTTCTCTGAATGACACTTGTTTGTGAAAACGCTGTCATATTCATTTATAACTACTGATAGATGCTGCCCACATTTCTCTGTTCCCTTGAGGTTGAAATCTACAAAGGATGTTTTTGACTATCAACAGTCTTTACTTCTTTTTCTATTACAGCATATTCTGTGATTCTAGAATTTAGCTAAAATTTGACATTGCATTTTCTTTCTTTAAAGAACAAATGTTTTATATATATATGATGTAAATGAATAATACAGATGTATGTAGTGTAGAAGGTGAAAGTGCCTCTTTTAAACTGCCCTTCCTTTCTCACCCACCCCAACCCACACACATTGATCTATTCTCCTGCCCCAGAGGGTAGCTTCTGCTCTCTGCTTGGTGTGAATCGTTTCAGACCATTTTCTATGCAATTCTATATACCCATGCACTCACACCCATGCACAGTTTTCCTGATATAAGTATATTTTCACTATGCCTGTTATTCTGAAACTTGCTTTTTTCACTGTACAAAGTATCTTGAAGTTCTTCACATGTCAGTATATGTGGTCCCAGCTCCTTTTTTTGAATGGCATCCCATATGTTAATCAGCATATATGATTTTTCCACCTTTATAAAAGTACTGCAGTGAATGGACATTTTTATGTTTATATCCAAAACTTCATGGAATAGATTTCTCAAATGTAATTGGTGGATCAGTGGGTGCATGCATGTTTTAATTTTTGATAGTTATGCCAAATTGCCAACTGCAAGTTTATTTATACTCCTTGCTCCAACAGGTAAACTGTGTTTTGAGGACAAAAAAAAAGAATTAGGACTAACTTCTTAAGAAATAATCTCTGAATTCTACTTGCTCAGATAGGAAAGTGTGGGCTCAATCTTTTGTCCCTTATAATTAGTTGAAATATAATACAAACTTTTTGAGTTTGGAGACTGAAATCTTTGGACATTAACTTGTTAAGACATGCTGTTATTAAATCTGAAATATTGGCAGTGGTGAAGCCTTCGGGTGATCTTTCCCAGGTGGCCCCATTTGCCTTTGCTTGGAAATCCAGTTCATGAGGTAAGGCATTTGAAACAACCTTGGTTGTTTGGATATTAAAGTCGTGTATAAAGGTGTGAATCAACTGCTATGCGAACTTTTTTTTTAACCTGGAGGAAAGTGTTTGGTTCATGTCATGAAGTAACAGTACCAACAATCTGATTTTTTCTGTACGGTTATGCTAGTTGCTGGATTTGGGGACATCATTTTCAACAAGATTTTATCTTGGTTTTTTTTTTGCTCCTTTTTAAAAATTCATTTGAGTTCATGGGCCTCATTGTGCCCTGTATCTGACCTTCAGCCAATGAATTGCTGTCATAAAATGTGACATGGGGGAAATTTGCAAAAGATGATTTAGGCCTAAGATGATTTAGGCCTAATAGACTGTGTGAATTCAGCCCTCAGTGCTGTTTGTAGTAGTTCTTGGCAGTGGAGACATTGGCCTATGAGGAACTGGGAGAACGCCTCTCTTGTTTCTTTTAATAACTGTCACGTTCCAGTCCTGAAATATTAGTTATCACAGCCTTTCAGAAAACCTCTTGCCATGTTGATTTGCCTTTTTTGTATATGTTCAGCTCCTACAGGAGTACATTCAAAGAGTTGTATTTGGCAGACTTACTAAATGCTTAATATTCGTGTAGTTTTTATTTTTGGGGGGGTGGGGGAAGAGAGCTTAGCCTCATTTATATTCCATTGAAAAATACTTATTTTAGAAAAGGCAGTTTGGAAATAAAATTGATTAAAATAAGTTGCCTTTTCCGTAACAAGTATTTTTCAGTGAAATACAAAATTAGGGTTTACCTATCAAGATATGCCAAACTGCTCTCTCCTCTGTCTTGTTTATTTTTGTCTGTGTACACTTTGTTATATCTTTCTTATAAGCACTGGTCACCTTAGGGAAGGGAGTGGTATGGTGGAGGTATGTGGTGTTCTTGTTAAAGTTAAGCTAAAATTTTAAATGGCCCCAACTGGGAGCCTGCTCTGAGTATATATATTTTGAGAGAATTGACAGTGGGAGTAGACCTTTCTGTAGTTCAAAAGTTTGTTGTTATAGGTATATTTTCTTATTAGACCTAGAATCAAGTCTCTGGTCAGGTAACCTCTCTTTTAATAAGTTTCTGTTTTAGTAATAAATAATAAAATACGATTTTAGGATAGCAGATATCTTAGTGTTTTACTTTGGGATTACATGTTTTGATGTAGAATCATGGTGCCATAGAATGTTGAGGTCCAGCTGTCTTAGTCAGTTGGTGCCTGAACAGGACCATAACCCTGGTTTCCCTGATTCCTAGTTTAGGGCCTGTTCTGTGATACTATATAGTCTCCTATTACACAAATTAAAAAATATATATATCACAGTTGTTTGAAGTGAAGGTTGAACTTTGAGTCAGAATGAGGGATTGAATCAATTTGAAGCATTAACTCCAAAAAAAGAATAATTATTATTGTGTCATATAAGTAATAGCACTTTAATTTCTTGGCTCTTCAGGGTTTCCCTGATTTTTTTTTTTTTTTTTGATGTTGCTGTTTTTTTTGTTTAGGTTTTTAAATTTTGTTTTGAATTTAGGTATTTGCTTTTATTTATGGCAAGGTTGGGGAATAATTTGAACCAAATGAATTTGTTTGTGTATTTTTTTTAAAGGAGAAATAAAAGGAGAATATATATCTTACCACGATCATGCTTTTAATTGAACTTTGTTGTTGTTCCTATTGCGTAATTTAAATTTAACTTGTTTCTAGAGTTTCCAGTGAAATTTTATAAACATTATGTATCTGGGAACAGAGAAAATAAAGTCAAAGGCTATTATAAAGTAGTTTTTTAAATTTGAGGACATCATGGGGCGCCTGGGTGGCTTTTTCGCTTAAGCATCTGACTCTTGGTTTCAGCTCAGATCATCATCTCAGGGTTGTGAGATTGAGCCCCACATCGGGCTCCTAAGATTCTCTCTCCCTCTTTCTCCCCTCTGCCACTTGCTCGAGCTCTCTTAAAAACACATACACACAAACACAAAAACTGTTTAAATTTGGGGACATCATGGATTCCTTTGAGAATGATGAAAAACTATGGACCCTTTCCCAAGTAAAGTGCACATAGCCATTTATGCACAGAGTTTTGCATACACTTTTAGGTAATTCATGTACTTTGTCTCTCCCCGCCTCACTCTCCCACTGTTAAGAATACTTAGCTTTATATGTGTGTGTTTGTATGAAGGTTTATTTTCAGTTATGTACTAGGCATTTTACATATATCTCATTTGATATTCATCACCTTACTAGATAGGTATTAACTCCATTTTGCAATGGAAGCTCAAGAAGGCTAAGTAATTTGTTCAGTATCACATAGCAGCTGTTAAGTTGCCATTAACTAGTGTTGCTTAAAAAGAGAGTTTATAAATTTGAAAATAAAAATACCTTTATAACTAAAAATATTTTTTTCATTATCTAAAAATTATTGGAGGTTTAACTCTTCTTCATTTGATGTGTTTATCAACATTTTTGGAGAATCCTAAAGCAACTTGAATTTTTCAGAACATTTACTTCATTGCTAAATTTGTGGTTTTGTTACATACATTTTGACTTCTCAGCTTTTGTGTATTTGTTTTGGCTTGCTAAAAGAAGCTAAGAGTTTTCACTTGATGTAAGTGTGAAAAACAAAGGTAAGTATCTTAATAGTGCCAGTGTAAGTAAATACTCTTATTTCCAAATTAATATTATATGAGTGTTCATCTACAAGTTCTGTCTACATTAGAACTTTTCTCATTTCAGAAGAATTTAAGAAGCATCTGATAATTGTGAGTGGATAGATTTTAAACAGTTCAGAAAACTTAGATGTTGCATAAATTGAAATTATTTGGGATAGAAAATCTCATCTTTTTGGAAAAGGAACAGAATTTAAGTGAAATTTTTCAAGAGACAGTTAAAATTAATTTTTGGCAATAAACACACCAGAGTATTTTACACAATCTCAGTACAGTAGAAAATTCAACATAGTGTGTCCATTTTGTTGGTGGTGTAGGGCAGGTTATTTTTGTTTGTTTCAGACCAGAAGTGCTAACAGTATATTGTATAACTTTTTACCAGTGAGGTGTTCCTAAAAAGAAGGCATCAGAGGGAAAGAGCATCCACAGTAGGAGACCTGTTGACATGGTTGACCACTTAATCAACAAAAGGCTATTACAGTGGAGAAACCATCAAAAAAGAATACATGTATACCCCAGATATTTTATTTTAACTTACAACATGCAACTGTAAAATTGTATGACAATTTTTTGTTGTAAAACTAGTGTGGTTAGCTGCTCGGAGAGCCGTATGCTTTTTTGCACATAGGACATCATAATGATGGAGCAACTCTAATTTTCTAGTTTTTAAAAAAGTGCAGCAAGAACTGAGACACTTGAAAACAAATCTCAGTGCAAAGTCATCTTTGAATTACACAATTTCTCTTTTCTTCCCCCATGTGTAATTTGAGAGCTTTTTTTTTTTTTGCAGTAACACATTGATCAAATCATTCTAAAGCAATCAACTTAGTTTTCATAGAAATAGCTCTCTTTTTACACTTATATCTCATTGGATTATATATGTTTATTTAAATTATATAATTTCAGTAACAAGTGCAAGTATCATAAACAGATTTGGGAGTGAAACCAAGATGTGTGAGTTGATAAAATGCAACTCAGCTGGAGGGGCAGAAGTGTGCAAGCATATTAGAGAGTACAGAGAACTTGGGAGAGTTGGTTAGTCAGGTGAGCAGGTG